TTTCAATTTTTGTATTTTAAATGTTAGATTTTTGATCATTCAATTTATCGATTTCTCGATTTATCGAGATTCCGATGTTTCGATTTTCGATTGTCTAATTTCTCGACTTTTAAATTTTTCGATTTTTTAAATTTTCGATTGATTCTTCAATTTTTCTTAGATTTTTCAATTTTTCGAAGATTGAGTTTTGGGATTTTGCAACATTTCGATTCTACAGTTTTTCGATGTTTCGACTTTTCGATATTTATATTTTAGTTTTTTTATTCTTTATTTTTCCATTTTTTGAAGCTTCGATTTCTTGATTTTACAGTTTTTTAATTTTACATTTTTTTTTTCGATTTTTCAATTTTTCGATATTTCAGTTTTGGGATTTTTCAATATTTCGATTTTTTGTCTTTTCGATTTTTTGATTTTTCGATTTTCAAATGTTAGATTTTTCAATGTGCCCACTTTTTGATGCTTCGATTATTCAATTTTTCAATTTTTCGACATTTTAATGTTTCAATTTTTAAAATTTTTTATTATTCAATTTTTTTTCTCAATTTATCGAGATTCCGATGTTTAGAATTTTCGGTTGTTCAAATTTTTTGATTTTTCATTTTTTCAATGTTTCAGTTTCTCGATTTTTCAATTTTACGATTTTTCAGACTTTTGATTTTTCAGTTTTTCGATTTTTTTAATTTTCAGTTTTTCAACTCCGGTTTTTCGACTTTTCGTTTTCTCGAACTTTTAATGTTTAGTTTCTCGATCTTTCAGTTTTTCAATTTTTCAAATTCAAGGTTCTTCGATTTTTCGACTTTTCGACTTTACGGCTTTTAGATTTCTCGATTTCTCCCAATTTTTCGATGTTACATTTTCCCAATTTTCCGTCGTTTCGTTTTAGAATTCGATTCTTCAGTATATTCCGATTTTTCAATTTTTCGATATTTCAGTTTTGGAATGTTTCAATATTTCTATTACTCGATTTTTCGGCTTTCGGAATTTTTGAATTTTTCGTTTTTTAAGTGTTAGACTTTTCAATGTTTTAAATTTTTGATACTTCGGTTTATTCAATTTTTCAATTTTTTCGATATTTTCAATTTTTCAATTTTTTTACTAATCAATTTTTCGATTTCTTGATTTATCGAGATTCCGATGTTTCGATTTTCGATTGTCTAATTTCTCGATTTTTAAATTTTTCGATTGTTCGACTTTTCGATTTTTTGAATTTTTGATTTTTCTATTCTTCAATTTTTGCATTTTTTGAAGTTTCGATTTCTCGATTTTTCAATTTTTTAATTTAACTTTTTTGCGATTTTTCAATTTTTCGGTATTTCAGTTTTGGGATTTTTCAATACTTTTTCGATTTCTCAATTTTTTCTTTTGCAATTTTTCAATTTTTGATACTTCGATTATTAAATTTTTCAATTTTTCGGCATTTTATTTAATGTTTCAATTTTAAAAATTTTTGATCATTCAATTTTTTTCTCAATTTATCGAGATTCCGATGTTTAGAATTTTCGATTGTTAAAATTTTTTGATTTTTCATTTTTTCAATGTTTCAGTTTCTCGATTTTTCAATTTTACGATTTTTCAGATTTTTGATTTTCCAGTTTTTCGATTTTTTTAATTTTCAGTTTTTCAACTTCGTTTTCTCGAACTTTCGATGTTTAGTTTCTCGATCTTTCAGTTTTTCAATTTTTGAAATTCAAAGTTTTTCGATTTTTCGACTTTTCGACTTTACGGCTTTCAGATTTCTCAATTTCCGAATTTTTCGATGTTACATTTTCCCAATGTTTCGTCATTTCGTTTTAGAATTCGATTCTTCAGTATATTCCGATTTTTCAATTTTTCGATATTTCAGTTTTGGAATGTTTCAATATTTCTATTACTCGATTTTTCGGCTTTTGGGATTTTTGAATTTTTCGGTTTTTAAGTGTTAGATTTTTCAATGTTTTGAATTTTTGATACTTCGGTTTATTCAGTTTTTCAATTTTTTCGATATTTTCAATATTTCAATTTTTTGATTATTCAATTTTTCACTTTCTTGATTTATCGAGATACGATGTTTCGATTTTCGATTGTCTAATTTCTCGATTTTTAAATTTTTCGATTTTTCGACTTTTCGATTTTTTGAATTTTAGATTTTTCTATGCTTCAATTTTTCCATTTTTTGAAGTTTCCATTTCTCGATTTTTCCATTTTTTAATTTAACTTTTTTTTCGATTTCTGAATTTTTCTTTTGCAATTTTTCAATTTTTGGGTTTTTAAATGTTAAATTTTTCAATGTGTCGACTTTTTCATGCTTTGATTATTAAATTTTTTAATTTTTTGACATTTTAATGTTTCAATTTTAAAAATTTTTGATCATTCAATTTTTTTTCTCAATTTATCGAGATTTCGATGTTTCGAATTTTCGATTCTTTAAATTTTTTGAATTTTCAGTTTTTCAATTTTACGATTTTTCAGGTTTTTGATTTTTCAATTTCGATTCTTCGACTTTTCGTTTTCTCGAAATTTTGATGTTTAGTTCCTCGATCTTTCTGTTTTTTAATTTTTCAAATTCAGGGTTTTTCGATTTTTCTTTTTCCATTTTTTTTTTATATTACGTTTTCCCAATTTTGCGTCATTTCAATTCTAAAATTTCTCATATCTTGATTTTTCAATTTTTTGATTCTTCAGTGATTTTTCAATTTTTCGATATTTTAAATTTTGAACTTTTTAATTTTTCGGTTTTTCAGTTTTCCAGTTCCTCGACATTTCTGTTTTAAAATTTTTTAGATGCTTAAATTTTTGATTTTTTAGTTCATAGAGTTTCGATTTTTCAACTTTTTTGATATTACATTCGTCGAATTTTCAATTTTTCGATTTTACTGTTTCATTATTCTTGACATTTGGGTTTTCGATTTTTTAAATTTTCCGGCTTTTCCATTTTTATATGTCTCGATTTTTCATGTTTTCGATTTTCCAATTTAACAACATTTCAAATTTGGGAATTATCCAGTTTCAGAATTTTTCGATTTTTCAATTTTTTAATTTTTCAATTTTTTGATGTTTCCATTGCTCGATCATTCGATTTTTCGACTTTTGGGATTTAAGTTTCTTGGATTTTCAGTTACTACAATTTTTTGATTTTTCAGTTTCTCAATTTATCGATATTCCTCTAATGTTTCAATTTTTCAATGTTCTGATTTCCCAATTTCTCCTCGTTTTAGTTTTATAATTTCCCAATTTCCCGATTTTTCAGTATTTCGATCCTTCAATTCTTCGATATTTCTATTTTTAAATTTTTCAAATGTTTCAATTTTGATTTTTTCTGTTTACAGATTTTTCAATTTTTCTTTTTTTTTATTTTATGTTTTTCGATTTTTCAGTTCCTGATTTACGATTTTATAATTTGAGTTCTTGTCATTTGGGTTTTTCGATTTTTAAAATTTTGAGACTTTTCGATTTTAGATTTATGGATTTGTCATTTATCCGATTTCTTAATTGTTCAACATTGTATTGTTAAATAATTGTATTGTAATCGAGTCTATTCGGCAACTGGCTAGTTCTGTAATTTCTCGACGTTTCATGACCCCTAGAATACGAAAACATCGGACTCTCGTTTCCATTTATGTGTCTGATGTCTGGCGTCTGTCTGAAAATCTTCTGAACTACGGGACCGATTGTTGTCAAATTTTGTATGTATATTAGGAATATCGTGTAGATATTAAAACGCTGGCCAAAATTTGTCTGATCATCCTCACCACCAATACGACGTTATCCTCAAAATTTACAATAGTAAACATAGTTTTAAATTTTATAAAATAACATACTCCTTCATTTGTAGTTTATGAATCTGTGTTGAGTGTTTACTCCAACCAACCAGATTTTTGTAAAAGAAAATTAAAATTATATAAAAACACTTTACAATTTAACTTTGAAATTGCAAAACTGAATGCTCTGAAACCTTGCAAAGGTTTAAGGTTATTGAAAACGTGGTAAATCGTTAATCAAAATTTATTCGTTTACGATCCCCCTAAAAACTAATAACATCATTTCAAAATTTTGACAAATATTCCTATCTAATATGTGCAAAATACGATGAGTCTATACCTGCGATTCTTCTATTCATATTTGTTATAAGTGGTTATGCAAGGTAGCTCAAAAAAATTAGAATGAGTCAATTTATTTTATTGAATAAATCAGGCTCACTCCTTTTCCCGAAAATTTGGGAAACAATGCTGCTGTTATTGGTATTACACTGCACCTATCCAAATTGATGCACGTTTCCTTACAAAAATTTCCATCAAAAAATTTTGTAATGCAAAAACTCATTTGAAACATACGCTTGGCATGCTTCTTTACATTTACTTTAACATTACATATATATCTCTATTTTAATTTATAGAGGTTTTCATAAAAAAAGAAAATTCGCAAAACTAGCTAGTTTTATTATACTTCAGGGGCGACGGAAGTTCTGTCGAAACCACCTATGACGAATAGTTCTAATAAGTTTGTCTTCAAAACTAATGCATAGCTACTACGCTCATGGCCGCGGCGAGGAATTTTTTTTTGGGCCATCGGTACAATGAAGCCACGTTTCATAAAACGAAATGAAATAACCTAATTTCAGCTCATTTGCTAAGAAAACTTTTTTTGAATGTAATTCTCGCGGAAGAAGGGGGCGCAACACGCCGAGAAGTCAATTTCGTTCTGTACATGTAATTCAATACCCAGCCAGGCCCGTTCATTAAAAAAAATCGCCCCCATAATTAAGGTGTTGGAGCCCTTATCAGCCAATCGGCAAGTTTCACGTTAGGAAAAGGCGTCATAAGCATCAGTCGACTTTAATGAAGCCGTTCGCTCAGTCGCTCGTGTAATGAAGGCAAAACCGGCCCGGAATTCCGCTCTTCACCTCAAACAGATATTACGCAGCTCATATCGAGCCGGAACGTTTCACTTTTCCCGGATTCCAGTTTAAAAACAGTCAATTAACTTCCTCCCTCTCTAACTGGTGCACTGCTTTTCTGTTCCAGGAGGCAACGGCAACGAGAGAAAATCTGCAAGACCGTCTACAGCGGTATCCTGTCATTCGGCGAGTGCATCCAGGCCCTGAATTCGAGCAACTTGTTGAAATCCTGGGATCCGCTCAACATTTTAGGGAACGACTCGACCGTGGACTTGCTGGATCAAAGCAACGGCACGAAAAACGGTTCGGGATTTGCGGATTTGACTTCCACTGTAACGCCTCCGCTGCCGCCGTTCGAACTGTGGCAAACTATTTTAATTGCAATTTGTTTAGGACTGTGCATCATTTTGACAGTTGCCGGCAACATTCTCGTCCTGCTCGCTTTCATCGTGGATAGGAACATCAGGCAACCCAGCAATTATTTCATAGCTTCCTTGGCCGCAACTGACATGCTGATAGGTGAGGGAGTCCGGAACGAACTTTCATAATAATAACATTATTAATAATAATATCATTTCTTGGCCTTAATACCCGTAATGAAAAAAGTCTTGCCTGAATGCTGGTCATTTCCAGGTCAGCGGTGGGTGTTACAACCCAGGCAACATGATGTCGTCTTTTTCACGTGAATAAATGGTCATCATTTACGTCATAGTGACCAAAGATTTCACATGATATTGACGTACCAATGACGGTCAAATGTCTTGTCGAGATGACGTCATTTTCTCACGAACTATTGACGTCATGTACTGACGTCTTAGAGTCGTCATTTTGTAACGAATTATTGACGTGATTTACTGACGTCCTAGAGACGGCATTTATTGTCCATTTTAAGACGTTTTATATATTTTGATTTTTATAAAAAAATATGCAATAAATAAAACGCTGAAATGATTTATTTTTTTTATATTGTTTAGCTTAAATAAAATATTATAATTCGTTATAATCACCAAGTAAAGCCCAAAACAAAGTATATATTAATTAAAGTTAAAACAAATTAGTGTAAAAAAATTAAATTTACTACAATTTTGTACAACCAACAATGAATTTCAATAAACAAATAAAAAATATGTCAATTAAACAAATTAAAGATAAACCACTCCTAAGAACACAAACAAATCTACATACAGGTAATTACGAGTATAATTTGTATAAACAAAAAAAAGGATATTGTACAATATATAATCAAAAATAAACGTTGCAATAAAATTTGCTTTTTAAAGAAAAATCAGTTTTAAAAACACAAAAAAATCTAATTAGTTACAAAGAATATTAAAAAAAAAAACTATAATAAACTATAGATCAGTCTTAAAAACACAAACAAATCTATTTACAAAAAATATTTAAAAAAAAACTAGAATAAAGGGAAAAGACAATTGAATCCCATTGTTGAAGTTACTTGATTGAAAATGCACTGTGAAACCACAGTATATGTAAAACTATCTAATTCATGACGACTTGACTGTCCCCAACACACAAAAAAGTACCGTTAAGAATTAATTCTGTTTTAACAATCATATCAATAACCTAAGTTTTTTAAGTTTGCCTCAATTTATTGCACTGAAAAGAAAAACCCGTTAGAGTGCATGGATTAATGGAAATGCAATCATTTTTTCGTCTATGGGCAATAGCAAGCATTTGGCTATTATTAAATTTAAGGGATTACAGCTTAAAGCAGAAGACAAATTCTGTATTTTAAAAATGCTAAATTTACTTGAATCTAACGGATAGTCGTAAAATGGTTGCATTGACAAAAACGTATAGCCTGTCAGGAAAATCTCGTTGTCAATACTTTTTACAATGAAGCGAAATGTGTATGTGTAAATAGTAAGTTACCAAAAAGTATCGTAGTATTACAGGCATCTACCGGTATATAATATACAAAATTAATGTTATATATGTATATCTGAATTCATTGTATTTTTTTAACTTACAAAGAAATCTGCTTGTTCTAATATGCAAACATAATCTTGTAATTCGTCACAATTTGTTTAGGTGTGGTTTTGGCGGCATAATTTCTGTTTTTGTTTTCTTTTTCAGTTGTCAGATTTGATGACGTTTCCATGTTGGAGATTTTTTCACTCGTTTCCTTTAGCATTTCTTTCGTTTCGCACATGTGTTTTGTATTTGTTTCAAATCTAAAATAAAATTATGTTCATTAGCATTATTTCGTAAAAAATTGCAGTAACATACCTTTGCAATATTTTATAGCGCCTCATTTTCAAAAACAATCACCGTAAGTTCTTCATAATCAGTGGGACTATCTTCAATGATTAATGGTGGTCTTTCCAGCTTATCTGAAAAAACTGCTTTTGTTATCTACGTACAGTTATCAAAAATAACAGAAACACGTAAAAATTAAAATGATTACTTTATTAGATATTAACTTACCTACTATAAATAAGTACAACCCACACTGAATGGCATAAATTTGCACAAAACTGCGTTAAAATTGAAGTGAGTAACGGATACACGAGAAAGTTTCGGTGGTTGAGAACCAACTGGAAATATTGGAATGCTTCTCTGTGAAGTGCAATAAACATAAATACCGAAAAAAGGGAAAGTCCGAATGCACACCCCAAACATCTGATATATTGTATAGTAAATACGGATACGGATAAATTTAATAAAACTGAATATTAATCACTCTCGAATTTTTTTGGTAACCGTCATCACTTTATAAACGTCTTTATAAAATCAAAATTCGACGAAGGAATTCTTCAAAACCTTGTCCCGTTTTAGGGACAATGGACAAAGAATTTTTATGACTTTGTTTGTGTCGTTGGGTCTTTTCGCTCAACCCCAGATGTTCTATTTATAATTTGCCAAGCAGGTAGGCAGGTACTTACAAAATAACACTTCCAGAGTAAACAAGTTTTCAGAAATAATTATTTTATTAGAAATTATTAGAATGAAAAAACTTGTCTTTGGTGTATTTCTAATTAAGCCGTTGTGTTTTTTGCTCTAAATATAATCAAGCATTATGAAGGCCACTTTTTAAAGAATACGACGACCCACATCTAATTGATCATATAATCTATAAAAAATGACGAAGAAAGGACGGCCTTTTGACGTCATTAATTGACGTCAGAAGTAAGTCATAAAAATCTCGTCATTTTCACGTGATTTTTTGGGCGAATGACGTCGCCGACGAGTTATGACCAAAAATTGACGTGAATTAGACGGCAGTCTGCTGCTTGGGAATAATGATAGTAATAGGATTTTCTGGTCCAAACTTTTATCTCGAGAATTTGAATTTAATAAATCTGCCCAATGGATTCCTCACATATTCAATAAACTACCCACACTTACACCAATCAACTATAATCAAATAACTCTTAACGAACTGTTGAATGCCATCAATAGAACACAATACTGGAAATCACCAGTACCAGACAAAGTAGGTAATTTCTGGATCAAAGAATTCACTTTCAGTTTCAATTAAAAGTAAAACCAACTCTTTGCTGGTTATCATTCGTTCATTATTCGTGCATTCATTTATCGTTCAAGGTCAGGTGGTCCTGAGAAGGACCGATTTTGGAATTCTTATGATTTTATTTAACACTTAACTCCTGGAGTTTTTAGATTTCGCTGGCATTTTCAGGCACGGTTTCCATGCCGTTCTACACCGTGTACGTCCTGATGGGTTCCTGGGATCTGGGTCCCCTCCTTTGCGACTTGTGGCTTTCCGTGGACTACACCGTTTGTCTAGTCTCCCAATACACCGTTCTCCTCATAACCATCGACCGGTTTTGCTCCGTAAAAATCGCGGCGAAGTACAGAAGCTGGCGGACGAAAACCCGTGTCGTCTGGATGGTGACAATCACCTGGATAATCCCGGCTTTGTTGTTCTTCATTAGCATATTCGGCTGGGAGCACTTCATCGGTTACCGCGACCTCCTGCCCGGCCAATGCGCCGTTCAATTCCTCAAAGACCCCATCTTCAACACCGCCCTCATCATAGGTTACTACTGGACGACCCTCATCGTGCTCTTTATCTTGTACGGAGGCATCTACAAGACGGCGTACGACATGCAGAAAAAGAGCGAAGCTAAACAAAGAAAGATGCAATCCATGGTGGCCCTCAGCGCTGGCGCCATGTCAGGAATGGCGGGCCGAGCCGCCGGGATCGGTCTCAGCAAGACCCAGAGCACCCTGTTGAGCCAAGACAAACCGGCCACTGTAGCCGTCGCCGTCAACAACCAACTGAGCGTGAAAGACGAGTCTCGGACCAGCTCGAGCAAAAGCAGCACGACCACAACCACCACCACCACGACGGCAGACAGCAACAACGAGAGGCGCAACCTCTGTCTTCCCACCTCTCAGCTGTCCGGCGCCGAGCAGGACAAATCCGAGCGCTCCAGCAGCCCCGCATTCGAGTCGGACGAGGACAGCTCCGCCCACCAGGCGGCGAAGAAGCGCACGTCCATCGTGGGCATCGTGGTGCAGAGCAGCGCCCCCTTGCACATGTTCGACAACAACAACCGGCTCAACGGCGGCATCCCGCAGCCCGGCCAATCCGAGAAGCGCTCCCCCACTCTGCCGCAGATCGCCGAGCAGTCGCTGCTCGACACGTCGGTACGTACGCCCAGCCCCGCCCCGCATGCCCCGCCCCCTCCAACCTACGACGTTCTCGTGGGCCTAGACGGCGCCGACTTGCGCTACATGGACGAGAGCTCGGTGGTAGTCCCCTCCCCCGCGTGCGAGAGCCCGGCCTCCTCCCCGCCCACGTCTAACGCGTCTCTTCCGCAGAAGGCCAAGCGCCCGAAGAAGGTCAACATGGAGGTGACGCTCAACGCCGACCGCACCGTGACGTCGGTGGTGAGCGAGGACGGCGCCGGCGCCTCGGACCCCAGCACCCCGTGCGGGCTCTCCGCCATCAGCCAGACAGGTAATGCCGCCGCCATCATGGCGGCGACGACCATTGTCGAGGTGAGCAGGAGTAAAGCGTTTGATCGCGCAGAGACGGACGACAACAGCCAGGCCAAGCGCGACCTGGTGAAGACCATCGGCAAGAAGCTGAAGGGCAAGAAGAAGAAGGCCGTGGTGCCGTTCGGGGGGTTCGGGAGGCAGAAGTCCAAGTCGGAGAACCGGGCCAGGAAGGCGCTGCGGACGATCTCGTTCATCCTGGGCGCGTTCGTCATCTGCTGGACGCCCTACCACATCTTCGCCCTGGTGGAGGGCTTCTGCGCGGAGCCGCCCTGCGTCAACGGACACGTCTACATGTTCTCGTACTTCCTCTGCTACGCGAACAGTCCTCTCAATCCCTTCTGTTACGCTTTAGCTAACCAGCAATTCAAAAAAACTTTCACGAGGATACTCAAGGGCGATCTGCACTTGACGTAAAACGGCGATAATCGCGGCTAGGCACTTTGTATCCGAATTTATTATCGTCTATTCTTATTCGTGCATAGCGTACATTCAGGTCAATAATTACCAAAAGACAATAATGTATTTATAGGAATCCTAACTTAGCTCATTAGAGGTACCACGCTGGTTTAAGCGGGACCCAAGCTTCGTTATTATATTTTGTAAATACACGCCTTTAGCTGATTGGAGTTAGATATTCATTAGCAAACGCGCAGGTTATAGACAAATACGTAATTGTAACATGTAATAATAATAATAATAATAATAACAATAACAGTTCGGGAAATGTGGTACTGTATATAACTGTAAATTTTTATGTAAAGATGTTCACGTGGTGACAGTCCGCTGTACTGAGCCCTACCAGCTCACTCTCATCACGTCCGATACCTTCTACCGTAATTTAGATGCAAACGACCATTTTTCTAAAAATGACAGTATTTTTCCTCACAGTATGTTAACAAAAATCAACTTTTCCCCATCGAAAATGATCTAAGTTAGATCACCCTGTAAAATATTACGCTATATAATAGTTCAGGATTGTAACAGCGATTAAAGGTACTATTATTTTTGGGAAATTTAGGACGCGTTTGTGCTGCTCTACAATAAAGATATAAGTGCATTGTGATACCTTTACCTAGCATCTACAGCTGTACGACTGAGGCTGTTAGAAACTTACAAGTTCGAATAGATTCCCTTTAAAGTTAGATCGACGATGTATTGTAGGTTGCAGCGGTGCATCTTCAAAACTAAACCAAAATTTAATTAAAACACTTCTAACAGCCCCAACTTTGGAATCTGTGCTTCTAAACGCATTTACTCATGTTAGTTTTCTTATAAACATTATCACTAAGACCCTGTGATAAATAAACTTTCACATATCCTACAAACTGACTAAAATCAAAAACCTACTCTAAAGACTTTCTACATACAAAATTTTGTAATCAAAACAACAAACTCCCAGAAGGCGAAATTTGTTGTTTCGAAACATAAAAAGCTCTATTGCTTTCATAGAATTTTTTGTAATACTTATTTCATTGAATCGCATCTGAAATAATACTTGAATCACCTTTCTGCTTGTAGAGATACTCAATAATAGACGTTGGTATTACAATAAAGAGTCTTTTATTTCCCTCCATAACTCCAAACAAACATAAGAAAAGCAAATTTTCCCTCGACAAACAAAAGTCTGAAGACCGATTGGATATCTACCCTCATTGAAGTAAACAGAAATTTGATTGATGAGAAAATATTTTGAATGCGACGAACTACGCATTATTCCGTTATCGCCAAACGACTATCAAGACACTTTTTGTATTCACGATTTACAAGTGACATTAATGAAACATTATCAGCATCATCGACAGCACGACAGGTGGGTAATTTACTTCGATGGGAACTGTACACAAGGTAAGCGGGGAGATAGGCAACCCAGATTACGTCGGCACATCGTAAAAATTCATTTTTGAATAAAATAAAACGAGGTGGAAGTGATGCATCACCCGTTACTTATAAACACGCAAAACTTTACCTTTAAACAAAAATTATTACCATTAAAAAATATAGTTGACAATCAGTAAAGCAGGCAACCCAAAATACACTTCAAACAACTACACAGTACTCATTTTAATTAAACTTAAAAATTCTACAACTTAAATATATATAAAAGTTTATTGAGAATCGCTCGACGAACTGCTGCTCGAATCCGTCGACATAACCTCCACATCCTCAGTCTCCTGCTTGTGATTCCTAGTATCCATGGGCACACTCCCCTGCCCCACACTTATATGCATCTCCCCTGACGAATGCCACGCAAACTGGTTCTGCTGCGCCGCCGGAATCTCCCCCGGATGCCCCTGCCTATGCAAATCTGACAAACTATTCTGCTGCTGCAGCATGTGCCCATTTATAGGATCACTCATCAGTCTCCCCAGCAGCCCCAGTCTCATCTCAATATCAGTAGGATACGGCCGCCGCGGATCCCCTTGTTGCCACGTCAACGGGGCGCAAATGGCGTTCGAAGCGCTGATTCTATGAGCAAATTTAATGAGTTCTTCAGATGAGACCGGCCTCTTATTAGCGCGGGAGATGGACTGGAGCTTCTGGTTGGCTTGGTAGATCGCTGTGGACAGAATTTGCTCGGCTTCTTTGAGCTGCTTTTGCAGATGGTTGATGTCGTTGTCTTGGCGCTCCACCTCGGCTTTAAGAATGTCCATTTTTTTGTCAATTTGGGCTTGTTCGGAGGCTAGTTTGAGGGTGTCGTTCAGTTCGTTGTTTTTGGCCACGAGGAGTTCAGTGAGTTGGGCGTATTCGGGGCCCGAGAGTTTGAGGTGCTTGGGGGCTATCGAGTTTTCGATTATCTCTCTAAAATGAGGGGGTAAGTCAGGAGATGGGGCGGTTTTTTTACTTACTTGGAGATTAGTTCGATGTCGTCGATTATGTAAAGGAGTTTTTCTTTTGTGCTCATTTGAGAAGACATTTTTACGAGTTTGTGGTAGAGAGTTAGTCGTACATGTAGCGAGTATTTAAATTTTAATGTTTGTTTTTTTGTTTGATGTTGATAGCGGGGTTGACACTTGTGGAACCAATGACGTTTGTCTGGTGATTTTGTAATTATCGGTTGGCGAACCTGGTTCAAGTTTATTTTATTATTATTTAATTAACCAACGAAACAATGAAAATTTTTTTCTTTCATTCTTTTTGTATTAAATTGAATCCGTATTTTGTTATTTTATTATAATTATAACAAATTATTATTGACTGCTGACGTAATTCATTGACACACTTGACAAGTACTTGACAGTGACAGCTGTCACACGTTGTCACCGGCTGCAGGTTTTTAACAATTTAAACTATTGTTTCTTCGAATACGGGCACATTTTACCAACAAAACCCATTAATTGAACATAAAAATGCCCACAGTTGGTGTAAAAAGGAACTTGCTGTTTCAAGCCCTCGGGAAAACCTTCAGTAAGTGACATAACCTCAATTTACCACTCCACATTTATTCTTCAAAAACAAATCTAAACCCGTACATTTCCAGCTGACGATGAATTCCAGCGTTTGTGCTTCGAGTTCGGGCTCGAACTTGACGAAGTCGTAAGTACTAAATTGCAAATCTGACGCAATCTCAGCACATGTTTCCAGACCACAGAAAAACAGATGATTTCGAAAGAACAGGGGGAAGATTCCGCATTGCTTGCAGGTGCTTCTGAAGATGTCATCTACAGGATTGACATTCCAGCGAACCGTTATGATTTGCTGTGTCTTGAAGGTATAACTTTGGGTATTCGGATTTTCCAAGAAAAGTACGTACAAACGAAATTGCCGCTGCTTTCGCTATAATAGTTTTTTTAGAATACAGCCCCCTCAGTTCAAATGTATCAAACCGCCACCCGATCAAATCCAAAAAATGTATGTTAAGCCTGACACTGCTAAAGTTAGACCTCACGTCGTGGCGGCTATTTTGCGCAATTTACATTTTACGCAGGATTCGTACAACAGTTTCATTGATTTGCAAGAGAAATTGCATCAGAATATTTGCCGGAAGCGCACCCTTGTTTCTATTGGTACACATGACTTAGATACAGTTGAGGGGCCTTTTTACTATGATGCTAAGTCACCAAGTGACTTTAAATTTGTACCACTGAATCAAACTAAAGAGTGTGATGGGAACGGCGTAATGGAGTTATATTCAGTAAGATTAATTATCAAACAAAAATACCTTGTAGTTAGGCAATCCATAATACACGTCGTATAATGGGTTGCCTACATCGATAATTTATACAGGCTGTTTCATCTTCTCTTCAACACTTTACAGACGCATGCACAACTGAAACAATATTTACCTATTATCAAGGACAGTCCTGTTTACCCTCTAGTCTTGGATAGTAACGGCGTCATTCTCTCCCTCCCCCCGATTATCAATGGCGACCATTCGAAAATCACCCTTAAGACAAAAAACGTATTAATTGAGTGCACAGCAACTGACTTAACAAAGGTAGCTTAAGTATTTAAGTAAGTCATGCGTGACGTAAATTTTTTAAGGCTCGTGTTGTCGTCGATACCATTGTTTGTATGTTCAGTCAATATTGTAAAGAACCGTTCACTGCAGAAGCTGTTGAAGTTGTCACAGCTGATGGTGATTCAATCATCTACCCAGATCTAGCATATAGAGATGAGGTCATATCCGCTAATACAGCGAACGCTATTATCGGCATCAGGTTTGTAATTGTCATTGTAACTTAATATACATTTTGACAGTTAATTTAAGGGAGTCCCCGGAAAGTATTACTAAATTGCTAAACAAAATGTGTCTTAAGTCTGAACTCAACGCAGAAAACATTAAAGTGACCATTCCTCCCACGCGTCATGACATCATTCACCCATGTGACATTTACGAAGACGTCGCTATAGCATTCGGATACAACAAAATCCCCAGAACTCTACCCAAAACCAACACCATTGGAGAACAACAACCCGTGAACAAGCTCTCTGATTTATTAAGAGCGCCAATAGCACAAGCCGGTTTTACAGAAGCCCTCACATTTTCACTGGTAAAATCGTATCCTACCAACTGCGCCAATTACACTAACATTTTGTTTAGTGTTCCCGTGACGACATTTCCACGAAGTTGGGTCTTCAGTCCATCAACGAAGTCCCCGCCGTGCACATCTCTAACCCCAAAACCCTAGAATTTCAAGTGTGTCGTACCACACTGTTACCAGGAATCTTAAAAACCATCGCCGCTAACAAAAAAATGCCTTTGCCTTTGAAGATTTTCGAGGTTTCGGATGTGGTGATCAAAGATGCGACGGCTGGTAGGTTGAGTTAGTGTTTTTTGGTGTTGTTAAGTTGGCGGTTTTAGAGGTGGGAGCGCGCAACGAGAGACGCATTTGTGCTGTCAATTGTAATAAAAACGCAGGGTTTGAGGTTGTTCATGGTCTTCTGGATAAAATTATGATGTTGTTGGAGGTGCCGTGGAACCCTAATAAGACACCAAAGGGTTATTATTTGCAGGCGTGTGAAGGTTACAGCTCAATTTTGATTGGGTCTTCAGATTGAGATTTTCTTGTTCTAGATCCAACGTATTTTCCGGGAAGGTGTGCAACGATTATTTGTAATGGGAATGATATTGGGAAGATTGGAGTCCTACATCCCAATGTTCTGCATAAGTTTGAGCTCACGAATCCGTGTTCGTCTGTGGAAATTAATATTGAACCCTTTGTATAAATTGAGGTTATTTATATGTTCAAAATAAAGTGGTTAAGATTGATCGTTCTTTTATTCTATCCACAAATCCCTAATAACCACGTTATCGTTGGATCAAAAAATTGATAAGTCACTAAAGTTTATTATAACTTAGAATAAATTATACATACAGTTTATGTACAGCAAGGTGTCATATAATGACAACAAACTTTGCAATTAATCATAATTAACTTGTGATTTGTGTGAAAAATCATCTTGGAACCACACAAACGGGCTCTATGACATTTTCCGAACTATTTAAACACCTAATTAAAAAAAAACTAATTAGTAATTTTAATTTAACCCTCCATGTCAGTCGCTTTGGTATCAAACTTTTCCCAAAAAATCCAAACTGTCTCCTCATTCACTTCTTCTTTGATGGCACAGCACTAGCTTGAAACGAACTCAACACACTATCGTAACTCGGCCTTGACACACTCTCCAACGGGAACTCATAATCAGGAATCAAAAACTTCTTCCTCAGATCTTCCCATTCGTTGCTATTCAAAGCCTTGAACCCTCCTTGTCGTCCCTGCGCCTCCTCGCTTTCCTCTTCGGTATAATCGGGTTCAAATTTCGGCGGCTGGTAGAACTTTGAGGGTAGTACTGGTTCAACTTTTTCCGTGCGGTTGGTAGGGTCGAAATTGACATCCACCGGAGGTGCTTGAAACTCCAAACTCAGAGTAGGAATTTGTACGTTGGTACTGTTGTCGTCGGTACTATTTCCGGGTGGTAGTACCCCAACGTCGGCGGGTTCTTCACTTGTTACATCCACCGCGGTAGGGTACACCGGAGTCGTCGCTTTAAACTGGGATTCAAAATTTACTTGAACGGTACTACTTTCAGTTGGTGTGTCATTAAAACCAACTTGATTTTGATAAGGAAGCGGTGGTACCAACCCGGCTTCATCAGGACCGACGGTACTCACGTCGACAGTTTCAGGAAACACGGGAGTTGTGGCTTTAAACGACGACTTATAGTTAACCGGGACTTCAGTAACGGTACTTGTAGGAACCACCGGTTTGCCTTTAATACTCCCACTGTCGAGTGTCTTCTTCGGGTTGAACACCACTTTATTCGGTTTAGACGTCGTGGATTGTTGATCGTACTCAGTCGACCAGTGACTAGGCAAAGAATACGTCGGTTCGTCGGTAGTACTGGTGGTAGCGTTCTTATCAGACTCCGCCCCCACTAGGTTTAAGTTGGTTCCGAATTGAGCGCGGCCCGTTCGATAAATTATGTCGTATTCGGATTGGCTGGGGTGTGATAGCAAGTCGGGTCTGGGTGTCCTGTGGTAGGGGTTAGATTCCGAGTCGTCAACGAAGGGCATTTTGCGCCCGATGCGTAAATTGGCTGTGTAATCATCGACGGATTTGCTGCAGTTGACCATGTACCAGTGGTCACAGATTAGCATTCGTTGCTGGAAGAGAGTCGCGTTGGGGCAGGTGTAGCTGAACTGGCGCCCGAGGCCGTCGCACATGTGGTAGACCTGTAATGTGGAAGGGTAATTTTGGGTTTTAGGGGGGGGGGGGAGGTTTACCTGGCAGCCACTTTCCACGTCTGCGTAGTAGCCGGTGGTGCGGCCGTCACAGGAGAAACCGGTTTTCGGCACCTGTAAACAAAAAAAATGTTGAGATGTTGAGAATAATAAATAAATTTTAGACTGTTTTTTGGTAATAATCCATCTAATAATCCGCACACGTTCATATACAGGAAATAAATTTGAAGTGAGATTTAAGTAGCAAAATTGTGAGATGATGTCATCAAATTTTTGGTCGGGATGAATCACAAACAAGTGTTGGATAGCATGTTTTTATCGACACGAAGGTTATTTTTCCTAAAATTTGTAAGATTTCATTATAATCAAGAGATAAATTATAATCTTCTTGTTTTTTTGACTAATTTTTCAAAAAGAAGACGATTTTCTTTTAATGAAATCACCGTAAGTAAACTAAAAATAAGAATATATGTGTATTGTTGCACTGTAGATAAAGAACCCTGACAGATACCTATATTTCAATTGAAGTTTTCATAATAGTGATAAGAAAAATAACAAAAAAGATGACAAAATGTTACAAAAGAAAAAGAAACAAAGAAAGAAGTAACGAAAAAATGCGAGAAAACAAAAGAACAAGATAAGAAAACGACAAACAGGGACCACAAAAATTTTACGAATAAATTACACAAAAAGGAAGTCAAAAATAGCGAAAAAATCCAACAAAGAAAAAAGACCGGCTCAAGAAAGCACCAAAAAAGGAAAACAATGATGATAAAAGAAAGGGATCTAACAGAAAGCGACAAAAAAGCGATTAAAAAAAAGGAATTCAGGGAGCGACAAAAAGGCGAAGAAAGGGGAAAAAAGAACCACTAAAAATCGTCAAAAAAGAAAGAAAGAGACAAAAAAGGTGGAAAAATAGAGTCTAAGAAATGACAAAAAAAAAGAAAAAAGAGATGATAAACAAGAAGTCAAAAAAAGGAAGTCAAAAGAACGAAAAGAAAATGACGAAAAAAGTGACAAAAAAATAACAAAATAGACGATGGGAGAAAGAGAACTAAAAGAAAGGGACAAAAAAGTGACAAAAGAGGCGACAAAAACAGCGATTAAAAAGGAACATAAAAGAACGACGAACAATTCCAAAAGAAAATCAATAAAAAGAAGAGCGACAAAAAAAGAAGGAAGGAACCACGAAAAAACTTGACAAAAAAAAAAGGAAAAGGTTATTAAAAAGGAAACAAAAACACACTACAAAATAAGACGACAAAAGAAACAACAAAAAAGGACTACAAAGCGTCCACAAAAAAGTGACAAAAATGGGACACAAAAAAAGTGAAAAATGTGAACAAAAAAAGTGACCTCAAAACGATACAGAGAGGGGAAGAAACGATGAAAGAGAAATCAAAATAAAGCAGCAAAAAGAGCGGGAAAAAGGGCGCCAAAAAAACGACTAAAAAAAAAGGAAATTAGGAAAGCCACAAAAAAGCGAAAAAAAAGAAGGAAAAGAACCGCGACCAAAAGTGTCTCTAAAAAAAAAAACGATAAAAAGAAAACGAAAAAGATGTTAGAAAATAGCCAAATAAAACGCAACAAAAAAGGCGACAAAAAAGGGAACTCAAAACAGGAACAAAAAAGAGGTCAAAAAAGCAACAAAAAAGTGCGACTGATAAAAAACGGCAAACAAAATAAGTCAAAATAAAAACTAAGAGAGCGCAAAAAAGGAATTAAAAACACGATGACAAAAAAATCAAACCAAAACAAGAAACAAAAAAAACGTCAAGGAAAGAAACCACAAAATACTACAAAAAAATAAGACAAAATATAGAAAATTGAAAGAACACCAAAAGAGTGAAAAAAACGACTGAAAAAAACAACAAAAAAAGAAAAAAATGGACAACGAAAGGAAGAGAGCTAAAAGGAAGCGGTGAAAAAGAGGCAAAAGAGCGCATAAAAACAGAATCCAAAAGAGTGACAAAAAAAAAACGAAAGAAAAAAGAAGAAAGAACGAATAAAAGAACGACTAAAAATGCGACAAAAAAGAAAAAGAAAAATTGCACACAAAAAGGCAATAAAAAAGGTGAAAAAAGCATGATAAAGAATGCGTCAAAAAATTACGACAGGAATAGACACAAAAAGGGACCATAAAAATTGCGACCTAAAAAAAAGAAACAATAGAGCATCAAAAAGGGTGAAAAAACGACAACAAAAAAAAAGAGTGAGCGGAAAAAGCCAGTCAAAAAAGAGGAAAAGAGATGACCCAAAGAAAGCACTAAAAAAAGGAAGTGAAAATAACTACAAAATTAACGGAAAAAAGGCGAAAAAACAACGGGCAACTAAAAAAACGCGACAAAAAAAAAGATGTTAGAAAAGGAGTCAAAAAACACGACTAAAGAAACGACAAAAAAGCGAGAAAGATGATAAAAAATTAGCCAAATAAAACGCAACAAAAAAAGGAACAAAAAAGAGGGCAAAAAAAAAGCGCGACTGAAAAAACTACAAACAAAATAATAAATCAAAATAAAAACTAAAAGAGTGCGATAAAAAAACGACTAAAAAAGGAATTAAAAACACGAAAAAAAGATAACAAAAATGCAACAAAAAAGAAACAAAAAAAGGCGAAAAGAACAACAAAAAACGACAAGGAAAGGACCACAAATTGCGACAGAAAAGAAGACAAAAAAAAGGAAATCAAAAAAGTGAAAAAAGATCGACTGAAAAAAACCACAAAAAAAGAAAAAAATGGACAACGAAAGGAAGAGGAAAGCGGTAAAAAAGAGGCAAAAGAGCATATAAAAAAGGAACACATAAGAGTGACAAAAAAGAACGAAAGATAAGAAAAAAAATACGAACAAAAGAACGACAAAAAAACGACAAAAAAGAAGAAGAAAAATAGCACGAAAAAAGGTAACAAAAAAAGGCAAAAGAAACATGATTAAGGCGTCAAAAAAAATACGACCGGAAAATACAAAAAAAGAGACCATAAAAATTGCGACTTAAAAAAAAAGAAATCAGAAGAGCGTCAAAAAGGGGGAAAAACCCCAAGAAAAAAAAAAGAGTGAGTGAAAAAAGCCATATAAAAAAGAGGATAAAAGATAACTAATAAAAGCACTAAAACAAAGGAAGTGAAAATAGCGACAAAATAAACAAAAAAAAAAAGGCGAAAAACAACGAGCAACTAAAAAATGCGGCAAAAAGTGATGTTAGAAAAGGAGGCAAAAAATACGACTAAAAATGACAAAAGAGGGGAAAAGATGACAAAAAAGTAGCCAAATAAAAAAACGACAAAAACGGAATTAAAAACACCACCAAAAAAAGATGGTAAAAATGCAACTAAGAAAAAAGAAACGAAAAAAAGGCGAACACTACAACAAAAATAAACGACAAGAAAGGACCACAAAATGCGACAAAAAATAAGACAAAAAAAGGAAATCAAATGAGAGACATATTAGTGAAAAATAGAACGACTGAAAAAAACGACAAAAAAAAAAACGAAAGGAAGAGGGCTAAAAGAAAGCGGTAAAAAAGAGACAAAACAGCGGATAAAAAAGGAACTGAAAAGAGCGACAAACAAGAACGAAAGAAAAAAAATAGAACGAACAAAAGAACGACAAAAAAGAAGAAAAAGAGCACGAAAAAAGGTAACAAAAAAAAAGGCGAAAAAAAAACGTTATAAAGAAGGCGTTAAAAAAACTACGACAGGAAAAGACAAAAACGGTGAAAAAAATGGAAGTAAAAATAGCGACAAAATAAACGAAACAAAAAAGACGAAAAAACAGACAACTAAAAAAAAACGCTACAAAAAAATGATGTTAGAAAAGAAGTTAAAAAACGACAAAAAAAGCGAAAAAGATGATAAAAAAAGTAGCCTAATATAACGCAATCAAAAAAAGACGACAAAAAAGGGAATTCAAAAGAGAGACAAAAAAAGAGGACAAAAAAAGCTCGACTAAAACAAAAACGACAAATAAAATAAGTAAATCAAAATAAGGACTAAAAGAGTGCGATAAAAATACGACTGAAAAGGGTATTAAAACACGAAAACATGATAAAGGACACGTCAAAAAAAACTACGACAGGGAAAGAAAAAAAAGAGTATAAAAATTGCGTCAAAAGAACGTCAAAAATGGTGACGAAAATGGCAACAAAAGAAAGCGTGAGTGAAAAAAAGTTATATAATAAAGAGGAAAAAATATGAGTAAAAGAATGCACAAAAAAGGAAGTAAAAGTAGCGACAAAACAAACCAAAAAAAAAGGCGAAGAAAACAAAAAAAAACACGACAAAATGATGTTAGCAAAGGAGTCAAATAACACGATTTAAAAAAACCACAAAAAAAGCAACAAGAAAAGGGCGACAAAAAATGCGAAAAAAACGACGATAAAAGGAAAAACTAGACGACAAAAAAAGATTATTAATTTACCATCTTTACTATAACCTGATAATATTTCTAAGATGTTAGAGCTGTTTTATTGTTTTTACGTTAAATTGTAAAATATTGTTTGATGATTTTGATTTTTTTTTTCAAAATTTATACGTCTAAGGTAAAAAAGAATGGCGAACTAGTAAACTATATGTACTTAAACCTATTATTTTATAAAATGTAAGTAGGATTTACTTTGCAAAATGTTGAGATCACGTCAACAAAATATTGCTGGGGATGATCAAACAAATTTTTGTAAAGGTTTTACCATCTAGGCACCTACAGGTATCCCTAAAATACACTTAAAACAGACAGACGGAACCTCGAGACCTACTTTTTCTACTCTAGTGGTCTTGGAATTAACTATTCGTCAACTGAACGAATACTTGAGTTAAAACATGTTTCTACAAATGTTATTTTTTTACGATAACCTGCGCATATATTTAAAATTATAGACACATTATTAACTCAAAATAAACAAAGGAGCATGACATGCTATAAATTTCAAGCGAGATTTACGCAACAACACCGATTTCATAAAACAATGAGATTTGTAGCTCCTAAAATAAAATTTCTGGTGGATATCTAATAGTTTCGGAGATGTCTGTCTAATAAAATCGCTGATAGAAGGAAAGAAGGGTCCTACTTTTTTAGATTCTAGCGGCTATGGCACGTCGAGAAAACATAAAAGTAGACAGA